CTCTACCACTTGAGCTACAGCGCCACTTCTGGTTTTCTGGTGGTTTATTGGAGATAAGAGTTTCATGGCTTTTCCTGCCCAGGTTGGCTTTGAACTGTGATCCTCAGCTCTCAGGCTCCTGAGTAGCTAGGATTACAGGCGTGAGCCACTGGTGCCTAGCTCTAATAAATTTTTTAAACTCAAGTGTAAACCCTTCCAGGCTGGAGGACTGGCGCAAGTTGTAGAGTGCCTTCTTAGCAAGAAAGAGGCCCTGAGTTCAAATCCCAGCACTGTCAAAGAGAGTGGGGGCACAGAGCCCTCCATAAACACTGAGACCCAGTGGTCCACACTGTGGCTCCGACGCCAGCTGCTGGATGTCACTGTCCACTTTTAAGCATGGTGGCGGTGGTGGCCTGGGCCGGGTGACGCCCTAACCTGCTGGTGTAGCCGGTGACGGGGTTCCAGCGCTGGTTCTCGTAGATGCACACGCTCTTCACGTCGGACTGTGTGTAGATGTTGCTGCTGCTGCTGGCCAGGCCTGTGGGGAGAGGAGGCTGCCAGGATGGAGGCCTGGCTGGTTCTGCCTGGAACTCTGCATTCCCTCTGCAGCACCTAGGCCCACACAGTATAGACAGAAGCAGGCCTGCAGCCCAGGCTGCTGAGATGGACTCCAAATCTAGTGCTTGCTAGGCCAGGGCTCTAACCCAGCCCGTCTGCTTTCATTTTCATTTTTCAGAGTTTCCTGCTTTTGTGCAAGTTAGCCTTGGGCCTAGCACATCCTACCTCCACCTGAGCAGCAGGGATTAAAGGCATGCACCACCACAACAAACTTGTTGATGAGGTAGGGTTGGGCTAACTTTTGACCAGGTTGGCTTCAAACCATCTCCTAAGCAGTCAGTTAAGCTAATTGTCAGGAAACAGGCCCAGCAGGGGTACCTCTAGAGTTGCTGAGTTAAGTCTACCTCTCCTCATCCCCCTCTGCCTCCCAGAACTTGTGTGGGGGAGGGGGCAGGCACCTGCCCTCCAGAAAGCAACCCACAAATGAGAGAGGACTGAGAGAATAGTGCTATCCCAAGTCGCCTTGAGGCTTCATCTATGAATGAGGGGCTGCACCCTCTGGAGGCCTGGCAGCTGGCTTTCTAGAAACTTCGGAGCCCTGGGCTCTGCCGGCTTGCTGGCTCCTGAGTTGGTCTTGGAACTTTTGCTGTTGTGGAGGCTGGTAGAGTAAAGGTCACCCATCAGCCAGCTGCACAGCAAGTGCCAGTCGTGGGGCAGTGGCCCAGTGGTGGGCAGGGAAGCCAGCTGGGGATTAGAGGAGGGAAGGAAGGAAGCTGGCTGTGCCAACTGTGGTGCTCAGGTGCCCACACCTTGGAAGCAGCCGCCACCGTAGCCGCCTGTGTACACCCAGGCCGTGTGATCGTAGCCGATACCCCATACCACGCCATGGCTGCTGGCCTCCACTAGGCGCAGATGGCCTCCCACTTGCCGCCAGAACCTGGGGGGGAGGAGAGGGAGAGGGACACAGCAAGAAGCAAGAAAGACATCTCAGTCCAAATTGCTAACCTCCCCCACAGTCTCCTTCACCAGATGCTAGTGGCTCATGCCTGTCATCCTAGCTACTCAGGAGGCTGAGATCTGAGGATCTCAGTTCAAAGCCAGCCTGGGCAGGAAAGTCTATGAAATTCTTATTTCCAATGAGCCACCAACAAGCCGGAAGAAGAGCTGTGGCTTAAGTGGTAGAGCAGCAAACTTGAGCAAAAAAACTCAGAGACAGTGCCCAGGCCCTGAGTTCAAGCCCCAAGACCAGCACACACACATACATCTCCTGTGTGGTCTCATGGACACAAGGCATGCTACCAAACCCAGCAAACTGAGCACCTACTTGCCCAACCCGAAGGGTGGGAGGCAGCTCCACCCTGGGCAGGGGGGGTGCTTGAGAGCCAGCCTCCAACCATAGGGTGGAGGTCAACCATGTGCTCCACACAGCCCCTCCCACGGGGGAGTGGGGTGGCACATGGCAGAGAGCAGGGATGTGTCACCCAACCCTCTGGCTGAGCAACAGCGTCACCAGCGGCTGCATGCTGACAATGTCCACCAGGCCATGCCCGTTCCTGCCACCAGGGGGCGCAGAGTGCACTGGGCTGTGGTTGGTTTCCTGGTCTCTGAGCTTGTCAGGGGCTGGGTCCCGTCCATTCTCTCCTCCCTGGGGATCTGCTTGCAGTGGCCTCTCCCTCCCTCCCATAGTTTCAGGCTAGACATAGCCTCTACCAAGCCCATCCCTTAACTACCCTGAAACTCTGCCTCGGCTCTTCTCTCTGCCTCAGGCACCCCAGTCGGGGGCAGGGGCTATGGGGAGGGACATGGCTTCTCTGACCCCACCCCTCCCTGTGGCTGGCCTCTTGGAGAGATCTGGAAACATGGAGCCAGGGACTGGGCAGCAGATGGTCAGAGAGAAGCAGCCTGTGTCCACCATGCAGGGCCCCTTCTCCTGGAGCCTGGTGCTCTGGGCGCTGGGGGGGGGGGGTGGAGGGGGAGAAGGCATGTGCCAGCCCCAGGGCATAACCACGCACATTTGGTCACAGGGCAGTGGGTGCTCCTGGGCCTCCAGATCAGGACTGGGCTCGCTCACAAAGATGTCCCCTTTGCAGGTGATGGACCAGATGGCCTGTGGGGACAGACGGCCGTGCACTCTCCGGCTCTCACTGCAGGACAGGCTGAGCAGGGCGAGCTGGCATGGAAAGGGATGGTTACTACTGGTCAGGCCAAGACCTGGTTGCCCCTCATCCCCTGCCCTGGGCGCTGCTCACTCACCCAGTCATTCATGTCCTGCTCGGTGGCCGCAGCCAGGCGCACGGGCCACCGCTGCCGGGTCCTCTCCGGGGTGTACAGGGCGAAGGAGTGCTTGGCCTCATTGAGGACGGGGACCAGTGCTGTGACCTCATTGAGGAACACGTGGAGGTACTGTGGGGGGATGGGGTACTCCATGTCCAGGTGGTCACCCTGGACAACACAGCCACAGCGCGAGGCTCCCTTCACTTTAGAGCTCAGCCTTGGGCCATGGGCCAAGCAGGTGCCAGTACCAAAGTTGTACTTTGGGAACAGTCACCTTGGTGACATCTTCAAGATGTTTGGCACTGACTGCCTGGCACACGCTAAGCGGTAAGCCACTTCACCTCCCAGAGCCACACACAGGGAAATGACTTTGGATGATGGTTTGTGGCCAGCACAGGCCAAAAGGTTAGGGAGCTGGGAATGGTGGCGCATGCCTGTAATCCTAGCTACTCAAGAGGCTGAGTTGTGAGGATGGTTGAGTTCCACGCCAGCCTGGGTTCATAGTGAGACCTTGGCTCAAGATAAAAATTCTTAAAGGGCTAAAGGTGAGTCAGAGAGTCTGAAGTTCAAGGCCAACACTGGCACAGTAAACAATGAAAAGCCAGGGCCTACAAGTAGCTCTGGGTGGCCCTTGGAGGCAAAAGGGCACGCCATCCCCACCCCTGGTGCCCCTGGCCCTGTGCCCTCTGCAGACACTGCCCCTGGTGGCCACGCAGCTGCTGGTACCTTCTTCTCCTCGTGTAGCATGTAGTAGATGAACAGGATGCTGTCCCGGGCCCCATCGTGGCCTGTGAACTGCTCCAGGGCCACGCGGACGTCCACCCACTTGTGGGGTTTCCAGTCACACCACCACTGCAGCGCGCCCGTCTTCACCCACACTGACTGCGGCACAGGCATCGGGCAGTGGGGCTGGCATCCCATGCGGGACACAGTCCCAGGTCCCGGGCGCACCCATCCCTAGACCCCCTCCACCCCGCCTCATGCCATGTGGGGCCGTGCGCACCTGTTCCACGGCCTGCTCATAGTGCCGGAAGTTCTCCAGCTCCCGCCGCGTCCTCTCCGTGAGCTGCTGGAAGATCTGCTTCCTCCAGGCCGCTGTCTGCGCAGGTGTGATGGACAGGGACAGCGTCTGCGCCGAAGGGGACAGGCCTGCGGGAGGCTAGGCCTCAGGGCTAGGTGCCATCCTGCCCACAGCTGGCCGGAGAACCTAGGGCTGGCTTTCCTCCTGCCTTTTCTTGCTAGAAGGTTCCCATCATTGCACAAAGGCCTTTGAGCCCTCCCTCCCTCACTAGTCCCCCCCACCCTCCTCCACTGGGGGACCAGGGAGGGGACACCGTGCAGCAACTATCCCAGCGGGGCCCAGGGCCTGCTTAGGACTGTTGACTGTGCTCCTACCTGAAGGCCTGGGACCTCCCCACCCCCAGGGGCTCCTACTGGGGTGCCTAGTGGCCTCCCATATCCCCCAGGGGCTCCCACTGGGACACTAGCCCTGCTGCCCCGGCCCCCTTACCTGACTGGACTGTGAACCACTTGAGTGTGGAGCCCGTATCCACGGCGCAGCTGCCTCCAGACACCCAGGCCCACAGTGGGTGGTCATCAGCCCCGTAGGGCTCCTCCGTGCCCAGCGGGCAGAGCCCCTGGGAGCTGAGCCCCGCGGCCTCGGGACAGCTGGCAGCCTCGTGGCCGGCTGCCTTCTTGGGCTCCTTTAGGTCAATACTGGTCCAGGGCAACTGGGCAGGCGGGGAGGCTGGGTCTGAGTGTTCACGGGGACCCAAGGCTGCAGCAGTGTCCCCTCTGTCCTCTGTGGGACCGGAGTGCTCGCCGGCACACCCGGGGGTCCTGCCAGCGCCAGTGTCCGAGGCTGAGCTTCCCCTTGGGTTGCTGGAACCGTCCAGAGACTCTTCAGGGAGCAGCTGCTTGGGATCCCGTCTCTCCACTTCCGAGGTGTCATTGTCACTTGGGGCTGACTCGCTGCTGCCCCTCACCTCGTCCCCAAAGAAGCAGCCGGCGCTGTGGACAGAACAGCGCAGGTGTCGTTTCTCTTGGGGATGTACACTGCAATGGTGACTCACCTCTCCTCACACAGGGACACCTGTGGGCCCGGGGGGCACGGGCGGGGCGCTGGCCAATCAGAGCCATAGGGCAGTGAGTGGAGATCTGGACTTGAGTTGTTGGCTATTTCTTTTCATTTAATTGGGGTAAAATATACATGACACCAAGTGGACTCATTTGACTTTCCTCTGGCGCTCTACCATTTGAGCCACGCCTCCAGTTGAGCATTTGACTGATTATTTTGAAGATGGGAGTCTCATAGACTTTCCTACCCGGGCTGTCTCTGAAGGGTGATGCTCCCCATCTAAGATGCCTGAGGAGCTGGTGACAGGTACGAGCATTTGAAAACACACGCCACGTGTTTAGCACATGATGCACATGACGCTGTACATTCATCACTGGGGCCCTGGGGCCTGCCCCACCCCCTCCTCTATGCCCTGTGGTCCCTGGGTCACCTAAGGAGGCTGGATGAGCTGCCCGAGTGTGAGCGGTCACTCTCGCGGCCCGCGACGATGGCTTTCCATGTCTTCCCGCTGAGCTCGCTGGGGGTAACGCCCTGCCGGAAGTACACAGCGCGGTCTTCACAGCCGATACCCCATACCTGGATGGAACAGAGGCACTGGCCTGAGGCTCTTAGCCCTTTCTTAGGGGAACAGGAGGGCCTGTGGGTGTGACGTGTGGGGGTGTATGCCCGTGAGTGTTGCTACGCAGCCAGTCCCCTGTGGGTCTCCCTGCAGGAGTGGGGGCTGCTCCCTGCAAGCCCAGAAGGGTCCAGATCCTGGCTCCCCAAATTAGGGAGCCTGGGGCTCCTGGAGCATGTTGAGATGCAAGTCTACTTGTGTGATTATCTTCCCTGTGGATTCTGAGTCCCCGGGCTGCTGCCAATCTGGGGCTTGAACTCAGGACCTGGGTGCTGTTCCTGAGCTTTTCTGCTCAAGGCTGGAGCTCTACCACTTGAGCCATAGATCCACTTTTGGCTTTTTGCTGGTTCTTTGGAGATAGTCTCACAAACTCTCCTGTCCCAGGCTGGCTTTGAATCCAGATCCTCAGATCTTAGTGTCTTGAGTAGCTGGAATTACAGGCGTGAGCCATGGGTACTTGTCTCCTTTGGCTTTACAGGCTCATTACCCATGAGAAGGGCACACTGTCAAAGCCACATGGAAAATGCGCAGGAGAGGCTGTGGCCAGAGTCAAGCTTAGGGGAGTGGCCCTGCCCTGTCCCCATTAGCCCTGAGGGGCACGGCCCTAGGACAAATGGCAAGGACCCTGGGTGCCTGCAAAGGCTGGGCAGTGACAAGGGACAAGGGGCGCTGCATGGGGTGCGTGGGGACCCCCAGGCATACCTGGTCATTCAGCCCCACATTCACCATCGTCATTTCTCCCACCATCTCGATCCAGCTGGTGCCACAGGGATTATGCGAGTTGACTCCTCTGCGAAACCAGACCTGGAAAAGTCGGAAATAAACGCCTCTCTGGAGGGTCGTAGAGACCCTTATTTGTTGTTGTTGTTATTGACAGGATCTCACTATGGAGCCTACAATGGACTTAAACTCATGATTCTCCTGCCTCTGTTTTCTGAGTGCTGGTATTACAGGTGTGAGCCACCATGCCTGGTAACTGAGGTGAAAAGACTCGGCAAGAATGAATGAATACGTTGAGCTTTGGTTCATTATTTCCTCTGTTTAAGAGGATAGCCTTACTGAGAATATTTAGGATTTTGTTTTGTTTTTTGGCAATACTGGAGTTTGAATTCAGAGCCCTCGGCTTGTCAGGCTCTCTACCACTTAAGCCATGCCCCCAGCCTCTTTTTCTGTTGTTTTTTTTGTCAGTCATGGGGCTTGAACTCTGGGCCTGGGCAGTCCCTCAGCTCTTCAGCTCAAGGCGAGCACTCTACTCCACTTCTGCCTTTGGTGGTTCATTGGTGATTAAGAGTCTCATGGACTTTCCTACCCAAGTTGCCTTTGAACTGCGATCCTCAGATCTCAGCCTCCTGAGTAGCTAGGATTACAGGCATGAACCACTCGTGCCCAGCTTAGATTCTTGTTTTTTTTATCGGTTGTGAGGCCTGAACTCTGGGCCTCGATGCTGTCCCTCAGCTCTTCAGTTCAAGGCCAGCACTCTACCACTTTGAGCCACAGTGCCACTTCTGGGTTTTTCTGCTTATGTAATGCTGAGGAATCGAACCCAGGGCCTCAGGCATGCAAGGCAAGCAAGTGCTCTACCACTGAGCCACCTTCCCAGCCCCCCCCCTTTTTTGTGCCAGTCCTGGGGCTTGAACTGGGCACTGGCTCTGTCCCTGAGCTTTTGTACTCAAAGCTAGCCCTCTACCACTTGAGCTCCACTTCTGGCTTTTTGGGTGGTTCATTGGCAATGAAAGCCCAGACTGGCTTTGAATCGCAGTCCTCAGATCTCAGCCTCCTGAGTAGCTAGCATGACAGGTGAGAGCCACCAGTGCCCAGCGATGTCACATTTATTCTAAAGGGCTTAGGGGACCTTTTTAAGCAGAGAGATCCCTAGTGACGTGGGACCCCGGTGGTCTCAGTCCTCCATCTTACTTTCCGGTCCTTGGTGACGGCCCAGACCACGCTGACGCCCACAGAGACGTGCAGGATCCCGTTTTCAGATCCGGGAGGTTCCACGATGGTCCAGGAACTTCCTACCCCCCAAGAAAAGCAACCCCAGAGGATCTTCATCAGCCAAAATGCTGGGAGACACCCCCCCCCCCGCAGGCCCCGCAGCACAGGGCGACCCACCTCTGGGGTTGTTCCTGTTGATTCCTTCCCGCACCAGGGCCTGCCCCTCCCAGAGTGTGGCCCACAAGAGGTCGTGGGGTCCACAGCTGATCTGCACCACCTCCCCGGGGGTGTCAACCAGGGACCACGAGGAGCCTTCGGGGTTCGGGTGACTGACATCCTCTCTGTACCACACCTAGGGAGGCAAGAAAGGGGGCCGGCGCCACTGCGTCAGCCCACCTGGCCCCTTATGGGACACAAGTTGGGGTCCCAGCAGCACCCACACGTGGACCCTGACCGTATAGCCGCCTCCCCCAATTTTCCCTCAGTGGCAGAGCCAGTGACCTCCCCTCCCATCCTCATGCAATATGCAAGCCTTGGATTTCGGTGGTCCAAGGGGAGAGACCCATTCTGCACGGCTGCTTGCGGGGACTGCCTTCCACTCAGCCTCCGGTGCTCCACTCCCCCTAGTGGCCTGGAGCTCTCAGGACACCTGTGGTGTTCAATGTCCCCACATACGCCACCGCCACTTCTTTAGTCCTTAACCTGACTGTTTAAGATGAGTTAACTCCTGCAAGGCACTGGTGGCTCACATCTGTAATCCTGCCTACTCAGGAGGCTGAGATCTGAGGGATCATGGTTCAAAGCTAGCTTGGGTAGGAAAGTCCATGAGACTCATAATCACCAATGGAGTTGTGGTTCAAGTGAGTGTAAGGCACCAGCCTTGAGCACAAAAGCTCAGGAACAACACACACACACACACACACACACACCTCCCTTAGTATCAAGTCATCTGGTAGGCAGGCGCTGGCTCCTCTGTGGTCCCCTCTTTTTAGATGGGGATCTCTTTCCCAAGCCACATCTCTCACCCTGCCAGACCCCTCCTCTCCATCCTTCAGCCATCCCAAAGCCAGTAGAGCCTCATGGTCAGTGCGTGATGTTACTGGCTAACAACGCCAAGCTACCGATCAGCCCATTGTGTGGCTGCTCCATTGGGGTGGATTTAGTCCTTTCCTTAGTTCATTAACTTTCCTCACACATCCCCCTCCCCCCCCCCGCTAGCCCACCCACTCATAAACAACAACAGGGACCCCCAGAGAGCTGGAAGAGCTCAGGATCTGTCCAAGGACACAGCAGTGTTAGAACCTGTGCCCCAGATGGGCTAGGAAGAGACGTGAGACAGTGGCAGAGTCTTCTGGGAAGTGAGCCAGCTCTAGGGTCCCCGGGACCCCAGGGCCCAGGGCTAGCATGGCCTTACCTTTCCCTGCAGAGACACAGCCCACACGGACAGGCGGCCCACGGGCTCCTCCGTGATCTCCCAGCCCCCCACGGAGAGGTCATTGAAGGGGTCAGGCAGTGCCTCAGGGTCATCCTTCGAGGGAATCTGGAGGAAACAGTGAGAAGTAGTGGCTGTCATGACCCGGTGAGCCGGGGTGCCCACCCTGCAAGCCCTCCTTCCCCATCCCTGCCCGCCTACTCTCCAGCCTTCCAGAACCTTTTATCCTCAGCTCAGCCCCCAGGCGCCTGATGTCACGGAGGCAGCAGGCCAGGGCCGTGGGGTGCTGTCTGGCCTGTCTGTCAGCAGCCATGCTTGGGCTATTGGCCCAAGTGGCCTCTATGGTTTCCCAATGCTCAGCTCCCGCCGAGGGCCACACCCGGACTCTCAGTCTGGGCTGAAGGCTGTGGTCTCTGAAGATCACAGGACCCGGCCCAGACTTCCAATCCTGACACCATGGAAACAGCACTGGAGGCTCGTAGGAGAGCCTGGCCCAGGGCAGGTCAAGCTCTGAGCTAGCCTGGACCACTGTCCACCTGGTCCTGTGTGGTCAGCGGCCAAGGTGGAGGGACACACAATGCCCGGGGGTCGTCAGGGGAGGGTATGGTGCCTGGTGCACACAGGGATGACGCTCCCTGTGCCCTTCTGTCCCTGTCCACCCTGCCCTGACCCCTGTGCCCTGCTCCGTGCAAGGACCTTGGCCCACATATCGCGGGATTTGTATCTCCGGTACCGGATCCACTTCCGCCTCCGCACGCACGAGTTCCACTTCTTGTCTCTTGTGTAGGTGGCAGGGAAGTCCATGGCGTACGTCCAGCCCTGCAAGGCCAAGTGGGCTGGGTGAGGCTGGGGGTGGGCAAGTGGGAGGGATGGGTGACAGGCAGAGGGGAGGGAGCAGGGTCGGGGGGGGGAGCTCATCACACGCACGCCACACACAGCCCTCTCCCAGCAAGCAGAGGTCAGCCACTGCGGGAACTGGGGACAGCTGGGCGCCACGGCCTCCCCCCGCCCCCCACCACAATCGCAGTGGACACCAAATTCACCTACCCCTTTCTCGGTGGGCTCCCCTCCAAAATTCTCATCCACGTACCAGTCTGACTCCCACTCCCAGTGGGGTGACAGCAGCGCCACCCCGTCCAGCGGCCGGTGCTGGAGCCCACTCACGTCGCTCCATGGCCAGCGGTCACTCGGCAGGAGTTTGTCGCAGAAGCCACCCATGGGGTTCCAGCGCTGAGGCCAGGGACACAGAGAAAGTCTCAGGCCCCCGGCATGCTGGGCGGAGACCCAGGTGGACAGGGTCTCTCTCTCTCTCTGAGGCCAGCAGGCCCCTCTCGCCTAGCTCTAGGGTAGCAGAGGAACAGCAAGCCTATCTGGCATTCAGGGATCAAGGACATCCATGACACTTCAGGAAGAGCTTAGAGCATCAGGCTGAGCATGGTGGCTCAGGCTTGTAATTTCAGCTACTTGGGAGATAAGAGGAACAAGAATTATAGTTTGAAGCCAGCCTGGGGGTGGGGGGGGTAGGGGTGGGGGAAGGGATGCTCTATCTCAACCTACAAACTGGGCATGGTAATTCAGTCTTTTTTTTCTTTTCTTTTTCTTTTTGTCAGTCATGGGGCTTGAATTCTGGGCCTGGGTGCTGTCCCTGAGCTCTTCAGCTCAAGGGGAGCACTCTACCACTAGTGCCACTTCCAGATTTTGGGTGGTTAATTGGAGGTAAGAGTCTCATGGACTTTCCTGTCCGGGCTGGCTTTGAATGGTGATCCTCAGATCTCAGACTCCTTAGTAGCTAGGATTACAGATGTGAGCTGCCAGTGCCTGGCTGATTGATTCTTATGATCTGAGCCACTCAGAAGACAGAGATAAGAGAATCTCAGCCCAAGGTTCATCTTAGGCAAAAGGGAGAGGACTCTATTTGAAAAATAATGGAGTGGAAAAGACCTTGGGTTCCATGGATAGCGATTGCCTAGGAAGTGCAAGGACCTGAGTTCAAATCCCAGTACTGGCAATAAAAGGGGGAAAAAAGACCCAGTGCATCAGCATGGCCCTAACGAGTAGAGCACCCACCCACGGTCCCAGCATGACAGGCAGAGGAGAACATGGTCCTCTGGGCTCCCAAAATCTACCAGAGCACACCCCCATCGGAACCCAGCCAATGACCCAGCCAGGGCTGCAAAGACCCAGATGCTAGCTGGGCGCCAGTGGCTCACGCCTGTAATCCTAACTACTCAGGAGGCTGAGATCTGAGGATTGTGGTTCAAAGTCAGCCCAGGCAGGAAAGTCCGTGAGACTTCTATCTCCAATAAACCACTAGAAAACTGGAATCGGTGCTGTGGCTCAAGGGGTAGAGTGCTTTCCATGAGCTGAAGAATGCAGGGACAGTGCCCAAGCCCAGAGTTCAAGCCCCACGACCGACCAAAAAAAAAAAAAAAAAAGACCCAGATGCTCTGTCCCATGGATCTCCAGCATGAGCAAGGTGGTGTGAATGCAGGGAAGGAGGCAGGGAGGCCTGCCTGGAAGGGAGCAGACCACTAAGTACCTGGTTCTCGTAGGCCTCCTCTCGGCGGCGGATGGGGACATCGCTGGCACACACATACAGGTAAACCTGGTTGTCACAGGCGATGCCCCAGCAGAACTGTGTGGCCGCGCTGACCCTCTTGAATTCCAGCTGGGAGTCCCGGCACAGTTCCCAGTACTGGCCGGCCGTGGACAGTGTGTATACCCTCCCAAAGAGGTCCACTGCCCAAAGCACTGAGGCAGGCATGGCGGCAGCACTAGAGGGAAACACACGGGAAGGAGAGTGTCAGCCGGGTGTGGTGGCGCATGCCTGCAATGCCGGTGCTTGGGTGGGTGGGGGAGCCAAGGCGGAAGGATCACAAGTTGGAGGCTTGGGCTCCAGAGTGAGCCTCAGTCACAAAAACGACAATAACAAAAACAAGAATATCAAAGTACTGCCTCCCAGCATGGGGACGTCAGGGTCACAGGAGAATTTTCCATGGTGATGTGTCTCATGTAGGGCCAGATGAGGTCAGGGAGAGGAGCAAATGGTCACACCAAAGAGCAGAAGCCATGCCTGCTTCTGACACTCAGAAACTTCTTCTTCTCTTTCTCTCCCTCTCTCTCTCTTTCTCCCTCTCCCTCTTCCCCCCTCTCTTTTGGCACTCGTGGGGCTTGAACTCAGGGCCTGGGAGCTCTTTTGCTCAAGGCTTGTGCTCTACCACTTTGAGCACAGCACCACTTCTGGCTTTCTGGTGATTTATTGCAGATGAGAGTCTCACTGACTTTCCTGCCCTGGCTGGCTTTGAGCCACCAGTGCCTGGCTTCTTTACCTCTCTGCCAGGCTGGTTGGTCTCTGTCACTCTCCTGGGCTTGACAAAGGGGTCCCTGGTGCACCTGGCATCCCAGCTGAGCCCCAAGGGACCACAGGGACTGAGGGACACAAAGGTCCCCTGCCTGCCCTCCCTGAGTGATTTCCTCACTCCCCTCGCCCTTCCTTTATCTCTCCTGTTTCTTTCTTTGTGTTCTGCAGAGTCTCCAAGCTGTACCCCGGGCCAGCCCTCCCCATCCGGGGATCGCCATGGCTGTGATTCCCTAGGGTAACCCCTGAAATTGTGACTTGTGGAGGAAGCATGCTTCCCACCATGCCATACCTAGGATACCAAGCCCACAGGGACGAAGGGCACAGCAGGGAGTCACAAGGAACAGACTGATCTGACAAGGTAGCTCTCAATCCTAGAAAACACTGCCCGTGGAAGGCCGGGCATGGTGGCTTAAGCCTGTAATCCCAGTTACTTAGGAGGTAGAGAGAGAGAGTGGGAAGATTGAAGCTTAAGGCCAGGCCAGAGGAAAACAATTAGAAGATCACATCTCCACCAATAAGCCAGACACAGTGGTACACACTTGATATCTCAGTTAAGATAGAGTACCAATGTAGCAAGACCCTGAGTTCAAACTTAGTACCATCAGAAAAAGAAAACACCACCCTTGGGACAGGAGAGAAGCAAGGTCGGAGGGCAGTCTGTTGGGATAGTTACTGGGAACCTAGGTTGTTAGGGGGGCCTGGAAGCTGGGCCAAGCTGCTGATCCTCCAGCTCCCCAGACGGATGGGCTGCCCCAGAAGGCACAGGAAGTACAGTGGTGGTTAGAGATGTAGCTGGTCTACAAATGTGCCCATCTGCAGCATGTAAAACAGTGGAAGCTAGCTGCCAGTGCCTCACGCCTGGAATCCCAGCTAGCTACTCAGGAGGCTGAGATCTAAGGGTTGAGAGTTGAAAGTTCATCAATCTCTGATCTCCAGTGAACCACCACAAAGCCAGAAGTGGAGGTGTGCCTAAAATGGTAGAGTTGCCAGCTTGGAGCAAAAAAGCTAAAGGAGAGTGCCCTGGCTCTGAGTTCAAGACCCAGTGCTAGCACAAAAAAGCACAAACAACAAGCTTGGTGCCTGTGGTTCATGCTGTCATCTTAGCTACTCAAAAGGCTGAGATCTGAGGATTAAGGTTCAAAGCCAACCCGGGCAGGAAAATCAGTGAGGCTCTTATCTCCAATTAACCCCCAGAAAACTGGAAATGACGCTGTGGCTCCAAGTGGTAGTGTGCTAGTGTTGAGCAAAAGAGCTCAGGGACAGCACGCAGGCCCTGAGTTCAAACTCCATGACCGAAATGTGCTAAGTGGAGCTGGACGCAGGTGACAAGGACAGGGAACAGAAAGGCAGGAGCTGGGGCAGAGCCAAGTTCTGAGAAACTAAGAGACACCCACCACAGGAAGTACAGCAAGATGCCAGGATGGAGGCTGACTACAGGGCAGGTCTGGGAGTGGAGGCGCCTCCATATAACCACTGACCACCCCAAAAAACGTTACTGAACCCATGCCCACCAGACATACAGCACAATCGGGTCAGGAGCCTTCCTGAGTCATTTGAAAACTATCTGTGCTCAGGGGCCTGGGTCAGGATCACAGTGCCCACACCCTGCCCCCGCTGCCAATACACGCCGCCCCTCTTCCACCCACCCAGCACCGCTAGCCAGGCTTCAGGGTCCCTTTGGATCCTTTACAGTGATTGAATGCCCAGAGCTGGCCAGAACACGAGTGTCTGAGCCCTCAAGGTGTGCAGTGTGTGAGAACTCAACATGTTCTAATGTCCCCCCACAAGTGTCCCCTCTTCTACCCTCTTCTACCTGTCCCCCTCCCCCTCCCTCCCTCCCTCTCTCTCTCTTTCTCTCTCTCTCTCTCTTTCGCACTGAGGTTTGATCTCCAGGTCTCAAGCTTAGTAGTCAAGTGCTGTATTGCTGAGCCCATGCCTCCAGCCCTCTTTATTTTTTTCCCCCTGGTTATTTTTAAACCGGGTCCCCCTTTTTGCCCTCGGTAGGCTTGGATCGCAATCCTCCTATTTACACTTCTCACCAATGCTGGGATGACAGACATGTGCCACCACAGCCAGCTATTAGTTGTGATGGGGTGTCACTAACTTTTCAGCCAGCCTGGACTGGCCTCAAAGCATAGTCTTCCCACTCTTAGCTTTCCAAGGAGCTCCAACTAAGGTGTCCAGCTTCCCATCTTTTAAAGAAATCAAGTGTCTTCCTGGCCAGCCTGAGGTTTAGTTCTCTTCATCTTCTCAGTGAATACAATAAAGATTCAAGTTAACACTTAATGAGGACAATCTCCACCTACCTCCAGCATCTTCTGATACCCTGAGGTGCTAAAATCCTGCCCACAAATTCAAGTAAAAAATTAATTAAAAAGCAAGGTGGCCTTGATGGACAGATAGGTGACAGGTGAACCAAAGTGCAGGTATAATTAACAAATGGAGGGTTTGTGGATGTTCATGAACTAATTCTTTCAATTTGACAAAATGGGTAGACTCTGATGTATGTGTATGCGTGTGTGTGTGTGTGTGTGTGTGTGTGCATGTGTGTGTGCCAGTACTGGGGCTTCAACTCAGGGCCTGGGAGCTATCCTCTAGTTTTTTGTTTAAAACCAGCACTCTATCACTTAAGGCACAGCTCCACTTCTGGCTTCTTTAAAAATATTTTTTTAATTTAATGTTTAATTTTTGCCAGACCTGGGGCTTGAACTCAGGGTCTGGGCTCTGTCCCTAAGCTTCTTTTGCTCAAGGCTAGCACTCTACCACTTGAGCCACAGCACTACTTCCAGCTTTTTCTGTTTATGTGGTACTGAGGAATCGAACCCAGGACTTTATGCTTGCTAGACAAGGACTCTACCTCTAAGCCACATTCCCTGCCCCTCTTTATTTACACTTTTTGGTGGTTAAGTAGAGCTAAGAGTTTCACAGCCTTGCCTGCCTGGACTAGTGTTGATCCTCAAATCTCAGTCTCCTGACTAGCTAGGTTTACAGGTGTGAGCCACCAGTACCCAGATTCTATGATGTTGTTATTGGTTTGAGCAATACAAATTAGTCTTTAATTTAAAGGTAACTCACATGATGATGGATGTAGACAAGTAGAGAGCACTTGCTTAGCATGCACCAGGCTGTTTTCATCCCCAGCAACACACCACACCACACCACACACACACACACACACACACACACACACACACACACACACACACAGCAATGTAATACCATTTGCTGGGCATAGTGACACACATCTGTAATTCCAGCACGCAGGAGGCTGAGGAAGAAGTACTGTGTACTTGAGTTCAGCCTCATACGACAAAAAAAGAAAAGGGTAAAAAGCCCACCTAATAGCTAATAATTCAATGTATGAAGGTCAGGTTCAGTCTGCAGATTGAACTTCAAGAACAGAGATGCTACTTGTATTTGAAACGCTTTCCTTTAGCTAAATGACTAAGCAGTCATTTCCTTCCTGATATAATTGACCCTCTGGGCAGTTAATGGAAGAATACTCTGTGGCAGAGGATGGGGTGGGGGAGCGTGTTTATAAACTCCTTTCCAGTTAAAGGTGACATGGGGTAAATATCCTTGGCCAGCTACACCTCCTTTTCTTTCTGGGCCAGGATGCGCCCCACAACTGGTCAGACACCACTTCCTGGCTGCGTCCTCACCACACAACCTGTTTTTGGGTCACAGGATTCTTGCAAAGTCTCTCATGACTCCAGGAACCCTGAGATTTCTTTGTTTTGTAAAAGTGAAAGATCTAAGGGAAATCTTCAGAGGCAACCTCTATTTTCACTGCGAACGTTTACAAAACAAAATGGTCTTGAATTTTCCATCATTCCTCTTAAAAAAAAAAAAGCCACTCGCCACCCCCAAAACCATCTGCTTTTTTGGATCAGTTTATCCACTGATTCCTTCCTTCAGAGACCAAAATGTGCCCCCAGGGCAGTGGAGTAGATGTGACCTGGCACAAGGAAGCAAGCACGCCATTGTGAACACACCTAAGACATCCATGGCACCTCCATTCCTCCCCCCCAAATAAATAGGGTCTGCCCAGCCCCACCCGGGAAGGAGGTGTTCTGGGTGGGCCTGGCTCTCATCCCGGCCTCTGCACCCTGCAGGTGGGCCCCCCTGCACCGCCAAGGGCGGCCTGTGTCAGGGTGCAGGGCCCCGGCCATCTGCCTTGGTTAATCCCAGGCCCGGGGGGGGGGTCAAATCCTCCTTCCAAGAGGAAGGATTTGCACCCGCCCCACAGCTCCAGCCGTCACCCCAGTCCAGAGGATGGACCCCTCCCCCCCAAGCCGGAGCTGTCTGTCACGTGTGTGTTCAGAGCTGGGATGAAGCAGACCCCCGTCCCCGCCCCAAGGTGTGCAGGGCCCGGCCCGGGTCCGGTCCTTCCCTCCATCCCTCCAGTGTCGCAGCCGGGAGAGGACGCATGGACGTAGGGCACCGCCACCCTCACCTCCCCGGAGGGCTCGCGCGCGCGGTCCGTCCCCGCGGCAAGGGGCCGCCACCCAGCACTCACCGGGGCCGGCGCCCGGCGACTAGGGGTCGCAGCCGAACTCCCACGGGGGGGCTGGCGGCCGGCCCTTGGCGCGGCGGTAAACTAGGGGGCCTGCCGGAAGTGGCCCTCAGACCCACGCTCATTGGCCAGTGCCTCCATGACATCACGGACATGGGCGCGCGCGATTGGCTACGACGCGCCGCCTTCCCTGGGGGTCGTCTGCTCGCCCACTTCCGGGGTCGTTCCAGGGCCGGGAGACTGGGGTGGCGCGCGCTTCCTGGGGGCTCCGACCGCGGGAGCCGACACGGTGAGGATGCGGTGGCCGCAGGCGAGGAGAGGGGCGGGCCGGGAGGGCGTGGGAGCGAGGCCCCCAACGAGCAGAGCGAGGGGTGGCACGCACACGTGCCCCGCTCGGTTTCACTGAGGTAAAAAGAAACTCTTGAATACGCAGACCTAACGCCTTGTGGTCCTGGAAACACTTTATAACTGGAGCGGCGAGGTGTCAATCACAGGTCACCATACACGTGACTTTGTAATTCTGGGGCGACGTGTCAATCACAGGTCACCTATTGCTCAACTTTGTGTTGCCAAGTGACAACCCGGCGTCATCTAATAGAGATAATACGGAAGAGCTCCCTGGGTGCCTGGCTTGGCTCTCACTGCGTGTTCTATTCGTACTGGGGTTTGAACTCAGAACCTTTGGCTTGCTAGGCAGGTGTTCCACCTCTTGAGCCACGCCTCCTGCCATTCCAGCCACGCCCCACCACCCGAGCCACTCCAGTCAAGCCCATTACCTGAACTACCCCCACCACGTGAGACAAGCCTCCAGCCCTTTTATTTTTCAGGTCGGTTCTCTTGCCTTTTGGGCAGGGCTGGCCTCTGATCTTGCTCCTCCTGCCTGTGGCCTCTGCCCTAGCTAGGATCCCAGGCTCTTGCACAGTCATTCTTGGAAGTTCTTGCCAGGTCTTGAGAATGCAGGTCGACCTTCCCTTGATGTCCTGGCTGGGAAGGCACACACAGGTTATGTCCAGTGGAAGGTAAAGCCGTCACCCTGCTAACCACCAGTGGTTTCATATACCTGGGGAATTGCATTTGCCTGGAGATAATGGAAAGCAGGAGGGTTCAGAGAGGCAAGAATGGTGATTCCCAGAGATTAGGGTATTATCACTGTGATGATCCTGGCCAAAAGAAAATAAAATGTGAAATTAGAAACAGAACAAAATTATTGATTATTAAGAGTAGGGCCAGGGGGACTGGGAAGTTGGCTCAGTGGTAGAGTGCTTGTCTTGCATGCATGAGTCCCTGGGTTGGATTCCTCAGCACCACACAAGCAGAAAAAGTTGGAAGTGGTACTGTGGCTCAATTGGTAGAGTGCTAGCCTTGAGCTGAAGAGCTGAGGGACAGTGCCCAGGCCCAGAGTTCAGGCCCCACGACTGACC